TTTTGTCACTGGGTTGTTTCTGTGCTCAGTCTTTGGCATCCCTCAAACAGCGCATTGGTTTCAAGAGACAGCAGGTACCAAAGGCATCGGGTCAGGTGGGCCTGGAAGACTGCAGGCTCCCCTTCTGGGCTGGGCGCTGGACCAAGCAGAGTCTCCTGAACTCCAGAGCTACATCGAGCCTGTTCCCACAGAGCCAGCAGCTGAAAGTCGTCAGCCCACTGTGTGCATCCCTGTCCAAGACACACAGGAAAATCCTGAAGGAAACACAAGTCTCAAAATACGAACACTCCTTAGCTTGGGGCTCATTTTCCTGAATTCCTCCATGTTCTGCTTGATGTCCAACAAGCATCCCAAGTGCAATCCTCCCCCAAAACAGGAGCCCTGCTTCCCATTCCCACCCACCCCAGCCGGTGCTGCTCTTCTCATCTCCACTCGGGAAACGGCACCGCCATTCACCCCGCTGCTCCATCCCTGCTTAGGGATAATGCTCGGTCCCTCCCTCCCTTTCCTTCACCTTTTATGTCTATTCCAAACACCCTCTTCCTCCTTCCGAAATACCTCTCAGATCATGTCTCACCCCACTTTTTCCGTCACTCCCCGAGCTTTGGACACACTGACTTCTTTCTCTTCCTCAAAAAATGCCCGGTTGCCTCTCCCTCAGGGCCGTGGCCCTTGATATATCCTTCACCGGGAACGTTTTCACTTGACGTCTCAATGAGTTCTCACTTCTTCTGTGACTTCCTATTCCCAAGCCCTCTATCCAATGACCCTTTTATGTCCTTCACAGCATTTCTTTCAATGTAAAATCATCTTGAATATTAATTTGCCCACATGTTTACTGTTTGTTTTCTTTATCTAGAGCACAAGTTCAGTGAAGACAATGACTTTGTCTGTTTTATTCACAACTGTATCTCTGGTGAATATTTTTTTTAAATAAGTATTTTTTTAATTTAGTTTTTTTTAAATTTTATTTCTTTGGAGGGAGGTAATTAGCTTGATTTAATTAAATTAATTATTTATTTTTAGAGGAGGTACTGGGGATTGAACCCAAGACCTTATGCATGCCAAGCATGCACCCTACCACTTGAGCTATACCCTCCCTCCTTATTTTTTAAATAAATAGGTATATG